GCTGCACAAGCGGTGGTACCAGCATCTGCAGAGCTACTGTGGGAACAGATGCCGACAGGCCTCAACTTCCAAGCGCCATTGCAAACAAAACCACGACCCCTTTGAAAACAACAGCACAAAAAGGCAAACTTTCTGCTGAGGCAGTCCCTGGGTTGTCAAAGAAGACAGAAGCGCTTGCTTCCTCTCATTTCGCTGCTGACGCTCAAGATGTGGGGACCTATCGAAAGATCAGCTCACTGAGGCACCCACGGGGCAAGCAGCAAGGCCTCCCTTCGGCAAAAGAAAGGCAAGCCACCCACAACAACATCAGCCGCAACGACGGCGACGACATCAGGAACCCCTGCGCCAAAGCACTACGGAGAAGCTTACGCGAAAACCGAAAACCTCGCCGCATGCGTACTCTAGAAAGCCAGAACAGAGTATGTTTGCCACCGCAAGCAGCAGCAGCATGAGCAGTTGCAGCACTCGCAGCAACAGTAGCAGTCGCACGCATAGGCATCTCAGAGAATGCAAAACAACTTCCAGCAGCATCACCGTCAGCAGCAGCGGTAGCGGTCGGAGCCAAAGCAGCACGCGCGGCAAAGAAAGGCAAAGCAGCAGTACCAGTAGCAGTTGGGGCGGCAACAGCGACAGTGTCAAGCTAAGAAAGCATACTTCCTTATCGAAGAAATATTTTCTTCCATTCACCCGCCACAGAACAATAAATAAACCTCCGGGGAGACATGTAGACTATGCGTCCGATATTGGAACAGAAGCAGACGCAAGTGTAGTGAGCGCAGCAGGAGCAAAATGTGCAGCGCCAACTGTATCCACCTTTCCTCAAGTTTTGCAAAATATCCAAACAGCGGAGGCGCGAACAGTCCAGCAGCGTTTGGTCTTGCGCGACGCGGAGTCAGAGAAGGAGGTAGAGAGCCAGAAGGGGAGGAGGAGAAGCTGCCAGCAAGAATTTGAAGGAAACGTGGATACTTTTTTTCTCAGCCTGGCGACGCTGGTGCATATACCACTGCTGTCGCTGCAGTAGTGGAAGCAGTGAAGCTGCAGCAGCGTCCAATCCGCAGCGAGCTTTCACGAGTGAGGGGCAAGAGGTGCAGCGTAAGCAGCCCAGAAAGTTGCAGCAACGCAACGCCACGGGCAATCGCAGCTTCTGGAGTATCTTCGTGTAGCGGTGATTCCAGGTTTGGAATCTCCTGCCACGCTTCTCAGCATCTTCAGCGCTTTTCATGCTCCACTTGCAAAACAAGCAGGGAAGAGGCGAAGGCTTCTGAGGAGTCTTCAAAGCTCCCTCCCCTTGGCGTCAGCAGACTGGGGGACTGCTGTTGTCGCTTTATCACCGAAACAAATGCAGTTGCGGATTTAGGATAAGCCAAATGGAGCACTTACTCCAGGCAACCTTAATGGCCTGGCCGCCACTCCGGTCGCGATTGCAGTAATCTTTTAAAGGGAGGATCCACGAGTCCTCGACGCGCTCGCCATTCAGCTCGAAGATCAGTGCAGTGGAGGTTCCGCGCATGCTTCCATGCAACTAAAACAGCCACATACTTTCCGATGTCTGGATCCTGCTGATGCAACTGGTACTACTTCTGCTACTGCTGCTGTTATTGTACTCCGCGTTGCAGCTTTCCGCCACACTTGTAGGTGTTATGGCTGAACCGAACTTTGAGTTTCCAGTAAGACTCCTGTGGGATAAGTCTGCTATCTGGTTCGGCACTGTGCGGTGGAGCTCCGCCGGGTACAGCAGCATGCCTGACGTTTGTAAGGTAGTTAGCTGCTTTTGGCAGGCGTTAGCATGGGGAGACTTGCTGATGCTTCTGGCGTCTTGCGTCGATCCTATCTGCTGTGTCTGCTGTTGCGGGAACTCGTGCGCCGAAGCACCGTACGCATTGCTTGCTTCTGACTCTGCTGCTGCTGCATTGCCAAGTTTTGACGCAGATGCACTTCCTGCTGTGGGTTGGCCTCTGCTTGGTGCTGCGGCACATGCTGAAGGTGCTTTTGCATAGGCTGGCAACGTGAGAGCAGGCGCTGCTGCTTCAACTGCAGTACCTGCGGCTCCGATTGCCGCTGAGGCGTCTTGTACGGCGCCTTAGAGCACGAGTGCTCGTTGAGCAGATAGCAGAGTCCAGAAGATGGCGCGCGTCTCCCGACGCCAGCAGCTACTTCGATAGATTTATTCCCCTTATCAGTAGTGCTCCCCTGTGAAGGTGGCTTGGAACAGTTGCTCATCTGGCTGGCTGCTAACGAGGTCTTGTTGCAGTCAGGAATTTCGCTGTTGGAGGCGAACCTGAAATTGGCGCCGGATAGGGCTTGGATGGCTAGACTAGCAGCTGCTACAGCAGTGGCAGGGCCCTCCTCAAGAGTGTGCACGGCTTCAGGGCTGTAGCAGGGGGCAAACCATACACCCTCAAGGAGAGTTGCTGCGCTATTCAGCAGTTCAGCAGCTCCTGAAGCCGGCAATGCAGCGCAGCTAATTGATTGACAGCTATCTTTTCTGGGAATCAATCTGTTGTTGCTGTTGCGGAAGCACTAGGAGCGACTTTGGTTGATCTGGAGAGTCTCGCCAAGCCAGTCTCCCAATGCAGCTCAACAACTCTTCCTCCACGTGAAAGCCATCCGCCAGCATTATCTTCGCTTCCCCGTCAGACATGGAGGCCAAAGCTCTCATTACATCTCGTCTCAGCGTCGTATCAGACCCTATTTCGCATCTACTAGCGAGATGTGAAACGCTGGTTTCTGTGTGATACAAATGTACAGAATAGCAGTGACTTTGTAGGCGTGGCAACAAAGCCATTTTTGCTGTACCTGAAAAAGGAGTTTCGCTCCGAAAATTCGATGGGATGTCGCTCATGCATTGCGGCTCGTTGTGGCACTCACCGACCATGCCTGGAACTCCTTTACCCGAGTTAGCTGACTTCGATAGTAGCAGGAATACACTCTTTACCTTCATACGGTGCGCTCTTTGGAGCCCAGAGAGGCTGACGAGAAAATGAAGTTGAGATGGTAAGGCTGGCTGGCTCGTGACAGGACGCCAAGGCTTGATGAAGCAGAACTTGCTGCTTTTTTCGCAGCAGCACTACATCATGGGCATTTGGCAGCAAGAAACAGGCCCAGCAGCTGCTGGGCATGTTTCTTGGAGTACCGTTGGTGGTGTTGGTGGCGCGTCAAATGTCACCGTTGCTTCTCCTGTGTAACTTGCAGCGGACTGTGCAACCACTGTTCCGGGCAGCGCTCTTGTTCCTGATCGCCAGAAGGAAGCGTCAGATGACTCAGCGGATACTAATGGCGCAGCAGCTGTTGCTGCAATTGTTGTTGCTGCAACTGGTGCTGCTGTAGCAGCTGCTGCTGGAGCTGCTGGAGCTGCTGCTTCTCTTGGTGCAGTTGCGGAGTCTGCTGTCAGAGTCCAGGCCCAGGCTGGCGATAACGATGTGCGGGAACTTGATGCTAGCCACTGTTTAGAAGCCTCACGTGGCTATCAAACTCTGTGCCTCTGGCCTCTGGGTTTGCCAGTGCAGATTAAAGTGCACTCTGTGTTGTTCCGAGGCAAGCGATGCCCAATGCTTTGGCTTCCTTTGGCGTTTTTGCTTATGTGAGAGAACTAGGAAGGCTGTCGCACTGCAATCACGGCAGCAGAAGAGCGCATTGGTCTTATAGACAACAACCGTCACACGTGACAGTATTTCTCCTAATCGATGCGTTGTCCACTTTTTTGCCAACGGCAATTTGAGCATCCCACAAGAATCAAAAGTCCAATGCACACTGAGTTCAAGAGCCAGCGGTCGCTTAAGCAGATATTGTGGTGGGCCCTAATGGGCCTCTCCTCCGCAGAACGCTCAAGGAGGTGATGAGGTTCCCTGCACTAGCTGGCGTATGCACGCTCATCAATATATATAGAACCGGTCTTTCAAGAAATAAAAAGAAGACCAAAAGGAAGGCGATAGCGCTCAAATGCTGATGCTATGGATCGGTTTCACGAACTCAACATTTGCTCAAAAGCGCAATCAGGACCATAACGAACTACAATGGAGGGGTTTGAAGTTCCACGAGTTGATGCGTGTCATGTGCAGCCAGTGAGAGACTTCGCTCAAGCACGCAAAGGCATGTCAGAACGACAATTTCTTCTTTCTCAGATACCCTGGCTTACGTGTGTCAGCGAATGGATGCTATGTGCAGGCTCAAAGGAGGCGTCCGCAATGTTCAAACAGCAAAGAGCTGTTGTGTCCATATCTAAAGCTCCTGAATATTTTTCCCCCAGTCAATTGAGGAATGCTTAAAGTGCTCACCTTGCAGCTTCTGCCTTTTGGTGCATGTAATTTTACCAAAAGTGGGCAGTGCCGCACTTTTGGGTGTCGTGGACACTTCATTTCTATCGCCTTATTGAAATGGGTTACTCTCACGCGGCTTGCCATATGGGCCCAAGGCTGGGTGTCAAGAGTTCAGGCCATGAGTTGAAACTAGCAAGCAACTCTAGTAGCGACGGAAGCCGGAAACCGCAATTTGTTATCCTTGTCAACCAAATCTGGGTATTTGCATCTTTCGGTTCAGCGATTCTACGTCTCTGATAGACGCAAAGAGGCTTGTGACTCACACGCACATGAGGGACTACAATGCAACGCCTTGAGATATGCTTTTACTTTGCTGTGCTAAGCTGCTTTTACCTTCTGCAGCGTGAAACGCAGATTTCTAGAGCTTGCACTCTACGCAAGTGTTTGCGCTTGCCCGTACGCAACAGGTTTTGGTTCCACGCGTAGCTCTTCGGCGAGTCGCAGCAACTGATGCTGAAAATATGGCTTTCACTTTCCACAGGGACACCAGTTTCTTGGGCTTTTCATACCACTGCAACAGTTGCGCTAGCGGGATGCCTGTGCCAGATTATGTTGGTAAAACCAGACGCGGGACGAAATTAAGGTGCCGCGGAACTGAAATCTATGCCGTGAAAAGACAGCTATTCCTTTCGTGACACACTCTGCTAAGATTGCCTCGGCGCAGCAGACCTCGGGTTGTACTGTTCCTGGTTCAGCAGATTTTGGGGTGGACGGTTGCCGATGCAGCACATCGGATGCCCATTGTGTCTCATTGTTGCCTTCTGCTGCCTTTGCTCCACGCTGAGCGCGTTCTCCGTTGAACGGTAAGAACACTTCTGTGCATCTAACGTTTGGTATTTGTATAAACATGTGAATGCATACACATCTCCGTCCGTGTGTATGTTTGCTCTTGAGAATGTGTGCATGCAACTCCTTGCCGCAAAGCAGGCGCGTTCGGTACGCCTCCGCACGAGTGCAGAACCTCCAAAGCTGAGTCGACGATTTCCATTGATTCCCGGATAATCTACAAGCAGCGTGCCAATTTTCAATATGACGCCTGGCTAATGAGACGTGAGCGTCACCAAGAACAAAAAGGCTGACGTATGCCTGGTGATGATGGCACACCAGGTAAAACACCGCCATCCACTGAAGGATTCACCCGACGCTGGACATATAGCAACCAAAGAAAGTTTGTATCTAGTTGCACTTCGGCATACGCGCACAAGTTTGTTATAGCGGTCATCGGGAAGAAGCTGTCCCATCCTGTTGTGCTGGTCACTCAAGTAGAGATGGGAATCCATGATGGTTGTTGACACCATAAGGAAGCAATTTCAGAAGACCTCCGCGAGCTCCACCTAGAAATGGCGAGCTACGTAGCACCAGGCTACAGCAAATACGAATGTCTTGAAGTTCCGGATGCTACAGCACGCATCAGTAGGACTACTACAATTTCGGCTCCTTCCGGCTCCTGAGGTATTCTGAAGAAAGTTGCTCGCCGGCGAAGTCGTGCACCACTCGTTCAAACCAGTTATAGTGCTGCTTATCCCTTACCTCCTGCAGCAATGGCAAGACAGACGGCAAGAGCGGTAAAAACCGCAGCAGCAACACAACTGGAGAGACTCTACCTGGGGAAGCCGCGGTGCGAGCATTTTAACTGAAAGTAGTATCAGCCTTGCGTTGTGGAGCTACAATCGTAGCCAGCAACTCTCCCTCCCGACCTCTAAACCGTGTACACCGAGTAGACCCAAAGGCGCACCTGGCGATATTCCGCTACGAGGTCAGCCATCTTTCTCATAGCTTCCCTCACTTGTTGCTGCCTGCAAAAATTAGTGCCAACACTCCTAGCCCTAAGCTCTAAACCCTGGATACTGAGCGCAAGGGCGTAGCTTCACACTTTCAGCCGCAAAGCACCGTCCCACAAAGGGCCGCTCCCTTTAGAATTAACACGCAATAGCCCCAATTCCTCGTCCTCTCTCGTCTTTGCTGTGGGCTGCACCACATGCTCTTGTTGGTTCTTCCACAGGATAGCTGTCTGCTGGTCTCTTTGCTGCTATTAAATGAAACCAATGGTTACAGCGTTCCGGCATTAGGATTGATCAATGCACTCACTGTACTCACCTAAACTCTCTGATGTACCATCTCTTGGGACCAAGAGGTTCTCTGTCTTGGAAATGCACCTTTTTCTTATAGAAGTATTTCGTCCACACCCATTCAAGTCCTAAAAGCAAGCTGCATTCCGTGAGCAGTAAGCCCTCAACCCCATATGTAGAACCCTGGAAAAAAGTTTAGAGCGCAACGCTGAAAGTCATTTAAAACTAAACGCTGAAAGCCGTTTAAGTCTTGCACGTGGTATCTTGACCGAAAGGCTTGAGCGTCAAATTCCCGCTGCAAAGATGGTCTTGTGATTTGGTCCTTTGGGTGTGCACCCCTGCCGTACCATTGAGTCGATACTGTCGCTCAACATCAGCTTTATACCTGCCTGAAAGTCTGGGGCAAAATCGAAGAACCAAAACTGTAAAACCTACAGAGTAGGTCTAAGCCTGTTGCCAGAGTTCACTTGAAGTGAAGAGTCGGGGAGTTTCAGCTCCTACTGTGAGATTTGGGCCTAGCCAAAACTTAGGGCTAAGGGCCTGGCGCTTTAAGGTTTACGGGGCTGGGAACAGCCGTACCGAGGAGGGTGCCATTCCCCTAGCTCATCCTTACAGGGCATGAGATCCTTCGGGATTTGGTAGCGCCGCCGGCTGCCTCTTACGAAGCAGCTGTATGGGTTCCAGTCAGCCCAGTTTCTGGGAAGAACAAGTCGCAGCCACGTCACAGCCAGAACCCACCGAGGCTCTGTCACAGGGGACGTTGACTGCGCTCCGCAACTGAAGGAGAGCTCGCTGAACACCTGCAACTAACTTTTAAGCCGAAAAGCCTAGATTCTTGGTTACGGACGGTGAACTTCACCTCGAGGGCCAGTTATCGAGCACATATCTCTTGGCCTTGGTGAGCCGCACGTATGGATTGAAGGTGGGTCGAAGGCGCACGCCGTCAATCATATTTTCAGGATATTCCATGCGTGGTGTTCCTGTATGATGCCACACAAGGACATTCAGAGGAAGTTCAGCACTGACCACAGAGGCAGCGGCAGCAGAAGCGGCGCTGCACCTTTGCATTCCGCCATGTATCGTGGCTCTTTCCTGGCCTGGAGCAGAAGTTCCCGTGGCTCCCATGGAACAGCTCTCGCCTCGCGACCCTGCAAGCAAAAGCCGTAGGCCCCAAGTGCTACATCCAAAATCCTTCGCGTCCACAGCCCCAACAATTGCCGGGCAGGGACGACCATGATTCAGCTTCTACAACCCCTAAGCTGCAGAGCCTTAATCCTAAGCTCAGCAATAATAGCATGTTAGAAGGCGCGAACAGGATGCTGTGAGGTTGGCCTACAATGACAAAACTCGAGAAGAAGCGAAAGCCTAAGGTCCCCCAGCTCCCCCTGCCAACAGCTACGCAAGGGCAACTCATCTGGTAAACCACGGTGCTCTAGTCAGCCCTAAATATTTCGAGAGACCCTTAAATATAGAGGCTAGTAATATCCCCTGTTTCCTCTGTCCAGGCACAGAATGGCTCCACAGTGGTTGGTAGACCACATATACTTTGCCATTTCACCAGTCGCCGAACTCATGAGCCCTAATATAAAAAAGTAAACAAAGCGTTATGCCCGTCTTAATTCGTTTATATATGTCGATCACTTACTGCTTTCGGGCTTCCCTTACCGTGCGAGGGCCCCTCGAGGTCCCCAACAAAGCCCTGTCGAGGCAAAATGTTAGACTAAAGGGGAGGGGTACAGGCACAGTTACTTATCTCCATAATGTTCAGTATAAGAAAGAGTCTTCTCTTTTAAATGATTTTGAGGCGAGTTTGCAAGGTAGCCCGCGAAGCTGCTTCGGCTGCCTGGTTAGATCGCTGTAAAGGATAACTCTGTTTCCCCTTGTGTTTGCAGCTAACTGTGTAGAGTTGCACATCTTCGACCAAGTTCATGACGAGTACTCCTTTGCTTGAAAGCAGGCTTTGATGTGCCTCTCATTGTGCCGTGGCCAGTGGTCGTGCCAGGATTAGGCAACAGTGCACTTGACCCCAACTGACCCCAGGTCTGAAATACGATATTCAGTGCCGATTCCGCTCAGGCATCCCCAGCAGTGAGCCCTTACGAAGCGTGCAAGGAAGATGCCTTAGAGTTACCCGGTGTAACCAAGGGGCCTGAGAGCCCCGCAGCTTCGAAGACTTCCTTCCTGGCGTGGAAGGCCCGCAGTGGCTCAATCCCCCAAAACCTGACACAGCTGCTCCAGAGCCCCGGTGATCCTGGTCTGCCTACTTATCTGCGCTTATTATGTGAGGGAATGAGGAACTGGCGCAGCGCGTGGGAGCCTATAAAGAAAGATCAGCGCCAAATCAAGGATGCAGTATGAAAATGCTGGGACAGTCTATTACGTTGCCGACCTTTTATACGTAGCCAGCATAGTGAATTCGTCTATTCACAACGGAAGATAACGTGACCACTCCAAACTTTCAGGGCCGTGGCAGCGGAAGAGCTTCAAACATGGTTACAAAGTCGTATAGAGGCTGGCAGGCCCTGTTCGCACCCTTCTATTGTAGTTTGGCCCTTTTGCGGCAAAAGATCCTCTGTACCATCAATTAGAACTAGCGAGCAACCCTGAAAACTAGTTCTGAGGCCGTGAGCCGAACCCAGGGGGTTAAAGAACAGCGACTCACGGAACAGCACTTTCTGTCGACCACAACTGATAATGGGCGTTGCAAGGCATCCCACTGAGTCAGCATACAAATAAAAAAGCGCTCCCTCCAGAAGTCTTCGTCAGCTTATGGTAATTTGCAGCACTAGCTCAAGAAGCCGGTAGCCTGAGGCTTTGAGCACAGCGACAGTGCAAAAAGGACAAAATAGATTAAACGGAACGTCCCAGTGTAGGTTGCATCAAAGTAGTTCACGCAGCAAAAGACTGTCCCAAGACGTGTTGGCCCGACGGAATAATCTGATGGACTTCTGGGCTCGCGTTGAAGTAAATGTCATGTACCACGCTTATGCTAAACTAGACATGTGACTGCATTGTAAGTCCTAATGCGCGCAAAGCGCGTTTTCTAGCCATCGAACTACCACAGAGGCTAAGATTCGTCTTAACTCTAGCAGCAAAGGCACATTTTGGCCTCTATAAAGCTAAATTCTTTGCTTTCTCACAAAGATATAAAAAGTTCACCACGGCACTGAGCTGCAGGATACATTAACGTGTCAACCATCGGCCGCTGTCGCTACAGGAGCCGCCTTGCCCCTAGCCCCACTTGCAGCCTTTGCTATTTCGTCAGCGAAGCACCAGGGTGCTTGTGAGAGAAGTTTTCGTTGCTTCATCTCCCTCAGTTGATCTTCCCTCGGGGTAAGATCCCCAGGGTTGGCAGTTTCGACGCTGACGGTGTGATGCAGCCTGAGGAGATCCTTCAACACATTGATCTCATGCAGGACAAAGCGCCATCGTTCTTCGACTTGTCTCCTTTCCTCATCGGTGAGGTGGGCAAAACGAAGGTCTCCTTGCTCCAACAGCTTGTGCCTCCGCCTCTGAAAGTTTTCCCAACAGTGTAGCAAAAGTTCCGCTGCGGTGAACCCCTTGCGTGTGTGCCGGGTGTAGGTACAGGAGTCGCAGTGGGACAACAGTAAGAGGAGCATCCGCTGGGCCTTTTGCATCCTCCGCATTAGTTCTCCAGGGAAGAGAAAGATGTCGTTACCTTCAAGTGTCGAAGAAGGAATTCGTACATCCACCGGAGCCTCTTCAGAGATCAGGCTCGAGCCATTTAGAGTGTACGTGCCTCTCACAACGGACTCCAAAGAAAGCCCGTGCAAGGCAATTGCAGCAAGGTCCCCTTCCCAGGAGAGTCCCCTAAACAGAGGCCTTGTCTGCCTAAGCACTCCTGCCGCTATTGCATGCAGTACCGTCATGCCTTCATCCTTCGTTACAATGTTGCAGTTAGCTCCCTTTTCCAAAAGTACACAGAAAACAGCATCCTGCAGCCAATAGGCAGCGAGTACAAGGGGCGTCTCTCCAGTAAGCGTGGCTGCATTGATGTTTGCTCCGTGCTCTAGTATCACCCTGACGGTCTCAGGATCCCCAGCTACGCAGGCCAGGTGTAGCGCAGTGGCGCTCTCCGCATTCAACGCTTCTACTGCGCCTCCAGCCACCAGCAGCTGCCGGCAAAGGCGAGCTTTCCCATTGCTGGCAGCAAAGTGCAGTGGGTAGCTTCTCCCTAGAAACCGATGGGATGACGCGGACAATAACCGTTTTCTGCTGACACCCCACAAGGGAGACAGAGGTGGCGTAGGGCTGACGCTGATTTCTTCCTTTCTGGGGCTACCGTTAGTGCCTAATTCACCCTTTGACGAGGTCCTGTTTCCAAGACCTCGCAGAGATCCTGTCTCAGTATTGGCTGCGTCCAGCGAATCGCAGTGCTGCAGCATCAACCTTAGGATCGCCAGCTGCGCTACGTCTGCGCCCGCGGCTGTCTCTTCTGCGGTACCGGAGGCAGAGCGATCAGAGCTGATGTCCCCCTTTTGTAAGGACAGCCCGCCTTCGCGCGAAGCACACATTGCTAGAAGAGGAGTCATTCCCAAGGGTGATTTGGCAAACAGGTCATATCCCATATTCAGCAAACTGCACAGAAGTAGCAAGCAAGAGGAGAGAAACCCACCAGTAGAACAGAGCACAACAGAAACCCCAAGAGCTTTGTGAGCAGAAACAACAAGTCATTGACTCCTGGAGCCAGCAAAGGACTCAAGCAGCAGCTTGATGACCGGCAGCAGCAGCAACAGGAGTTGCAGCAACCGCAGCAGCACAGATATCAGGAACAGTCGCAGCCGAGTAGCTCACTGGCCAACAATGGCATCCTTAGAATATAGACAAGCAAGCCCAAGAAGGCTCAGGCCAGTGGGTAGGTGCTGCGTGCCTTTCATCGCTCTAAACAACTCCAAAGCGAGTGGAAAGTGAAGCCCGCGGCGCAGGAGGGCCACAGCCACAGACATCGGGTCGCGGGAGAAGTGCTCCTTGATTTGCTGACAGCCGAAACGAACAACAACGAATAATGCAATCTTCTACACAGCATACAGCATGGAATTTTTGCCAGCAGTTCATATGTAGCTCTAGTTCTACTGCTTGCTTGTCTGCCTAGACAGACGGCAGCATGCCTAGCGGCTGACGGCTTGGCTCTCTTCAGGGCTCTCACCTCTGAGCTAGCGGCCCTTGAATTGGTTGCAGCCCTGTAGAGGGCAACGAAGACATCTTCTGTGCGCACCATGGGAACTTGGAGAAGGGGAGGCGTACACAAGCCAAGGAGCGCAGCGAATCGACGGAGTCGAAGACCCACAACCACTGACAGGCTCGCATCGCTGCCCATGCATGCTACACAGTTCCACAAAGCGCAAAATAGAGGCTCCATGATCTTCTCGGAAGGGACGGAAGGTCCACGGCGGCACTGCTTCTCCAGCTGCATCGCCTGCGACCAGCAGCAGCAGAAATGCCAAGAGTAACATCAAAAGCACTTTTGAACTTCGTTCTACCCGAAAAAGCCTCAACACTGCCTGTGTCGGTCCCGAGCCGCAGCAGTAGCAGTTGTAGAAGCAAGTGCTGCGGCAGAATATTACTCCGCAGCTCCAAGAAGAGCCACACATAATCTGTGTCATTGCTGCTGCCTTTGCCATGGCCATGCGGCGGACCTTGTACGTGAGTTCCGCGAGCTTCAGGTAAAGGTGCGCCTTAGTCATGGACGTGGCGGGTAGGACCGTCTCCGCTGCCATCCCAGCTCTCCTAAGGAGAATGAGGGCCTGCAGACATCACGAAGCAGAACCAGGGGCCATAGCTGATGTACCGCTACTCCTATGCCCAGCGAAGCATGAGGGTCACTGCAGACTTTGATACAAAGCTGTCGTACGGTTGGCGCTGTTGTAAGCAAATAATCACTCGGCTTTGTGTATTTCGCGCCCCTATGCAGTTTGCAGTGCCACTGCATAGGAAGCCCTCACCAATGGCACGTCCTTGCCTCCTTTTGCAGCCAAGAGTCCCGCGAGAATAGTGTTCACATTGAAGAGGACAGCATGCTGAGGATGCAGTTTGCTGCTGTAGTGGTCCACGAGGTCACCATAGATTCGAGTTGCCAGCTGCTGAGACCCCTTGATCAAGTGCGTGTCAGCTTCCGATTGTCTCTGCAAGAGGTCCCTCTCGATACTTGCACAGGTTAATGAAACCTTAGGGTCCGTTAGCCCGCAGCAGTTACAAAGCCACTGTTCTTCTAGAG